AGTTTTTGCCACAAACTCTAATTTTCTAATCCTTATATCTTTGCAACTCGATGTCAAAGACCTTTGATATTTTGAATCTATGTTTGAAATATCAAATGTTAACTGCACCATGTTGCAAAGATATGGGGATCAAAAGATTGTGATTGAGGAAAAAAATTCAGTTCCTGTATGTACATTGTACAACGATGACTTCATCGTACAGACAGTACACTTGAACACTGAACAACATAATTTTAAAAGTAAAAACCTGGTTTAAGAATGAAAAATGAAAAGAATGAACTTAGATAATAGACATGTCTTGCTCCCATCTACATAAAGTATAAATAATAGTTACATAAACATGTGGATGTATATTGTATACTGTTTACTTGGCAGATATGCATAAATATTTTAATATTGAGAATATAAATAAATAGATAAATATATGAATATATGTTTAGATGGATAGATATAGAGAGAGGTAGATAGGTAGATAGGTAGATATAGAGATAGGTAGATAGGTAGATAGGTAGATAGGTAGATAGGTAGATAGGTAGATAGGTAGATAGGTAGATAGGTAGATAGGTAGATAGGTAGATAGGTAGATAGTTTTGATTTGTAAATAATGGAAGCAAAACTATTGTTTATATTTTATCAACCAATATGAAATATCCCTGACAAAACATATCATCAGAATTAAAATATTCTATGTCGGAAAATTCTGAGATTGTTTCTCTTCTACAATCTGAATATCAATTATCAAATCAATAAACACATCTATTATAAATCACAATGATCTAGTTAGAAAGAGAATTTCAAACTCATGAGACAATACTGGAGAGAATTTCAAACTCATGAGACAATACTGGAGAGAATTTCAAACTCATGAGACAATACTGAAGAGAATTTCAAACTCATGAGACAATACTGAAGAGAATTTCAAACTCATGAGACAATACTGAAGAGAATTTCAAACTCATGAGACAATACTGGAGAGAATTTCAAACTCATGAGACAATACTGAAGAGAATTTCAAACTCATGAGACAATACTGATGAGAATTTCAAAGTCATGAGACAATACTGAAGAGAATTTCAAACTCATGAGACAATACTGAAGAGAATTTCAAACTCATGAGACAATACTGGTAAGCCTGTGTGACCTCGTAGCTCCCACAGTTTTCCTCACAGCGACATAGTATGATAAAAACAAAATTATCTGTCACAGATTAGAAATTCAAAATTGTTTGTTCTTCTCAACAGTTCTACAAAAGAACATCTAGAATATTTGATTTACTCTAGTTTGACGTGGTTATATAATTTCATTTGTTTAAAGTAACACTAAAACTCTTCTGTTTAAAAACACTTAAATTCTATTCTGTTTAAAGAAATACTAAAACTATTCTGTTTAAAGTAATACTAAAATTCTATTCTGTTTAAAGTAACAATAAAACTATTCTGATTAAAGTAATACTAAAATTCTATTCAATTTAAATTAATACTAAAATTCTATTCTGTTAAAATAATAATAAAATTGTATTCTGTTTAAAGTAACACTAAACTTCTTTTCTGCTTAAACTTAAAGTAACGCTGAAACTATCCTGTTTAAAGTAACACTAAAATTCTATTCTGTTTAAAGTAACACTAATACTATTCTGATTAAAGTAATAATAAAATTATATTCTGTTTAAAGTAACATTAAAATTCTATTCTGTTTAAACTTACAGTAACACTAAAACTATCCTGTTTAAACTTAAAGTTACACTAAAACTATTCTGTTTACAGTAATATTAAAATTCTATTCTGTTTACAGTATCACTAAAATTCTATTCTGTTTAAAGAAACTGTAAATTAAAAATAAATTTTAATTGGATTTTTCTTCCTTTATTTTTTTCAGAAAAGAGTTCACATTGAATATAAAATATTGTTATTGATATGTATTCAATATTATCCATTGACTTTTCAATACAGTTTCATTTCTGTAAAGTTTAAAACAATAATAATAGTATTAAACTTATCAAATAATATAGAGGATAACATAACTAACTAAACTAACTAAAACCGGGCATATTTCGGGTTTGGGGATGCAATGCACGTGGATTTAAAGGTTCTGTCTATATTCTAGAAAGCTGTGGCTTTTGATAATAATTTTACCCATCAAACATAATTTTTTTATCCTTTTTTCTTAAATACAAATCCGTAAATTAAAAGATTGTTGTTATGGACCAAATTACGTTTGATTTCAAATAGAAGAAACCGAATGCTTCTAATTCTGGTTAGTCCGGGGTGAAAAGGGTAACATTTTATACTGGGTGGGTTGATTGGGAATGCTTGTGGTTGATTAGGATTAATTTTGGTAGATTAGAACTGATTTTGGTTGATTTAAACTGATTTTGATTGTTTAGAACAGATTTTGGTTGATTAGAACTGACTTGGGTTGCTTAGGACTAATTTCGTTTCATTAAGCCTGATTTTGGATAATTAGACTAATTTTGGTTGATTATACGTGATTTTGGTTGATTTGAACTAACTTGGTTGGTTAGGTCTGATTATAGTTGATTAGAACTGATTTTGGTTGATCAGATTGTAGAGAAACTACAATGAAAATCTTAGTTTTCATAATTTTTAACATTGACCTATAATTCATAATTGACCAGGTTTAAGGGGTATCCTTGTGACTTATGCATTGTCATCATTGCAAGGAGGGCCACAGGCCCTTAAAATCTTCATATATATTATAAACTATGGTGCAGATTTCGTAGCTTGGTCCCCAGCAATCTCCCGAAGATACTGCTGAAACCAGTCTGGTGAGTTTAAAACAGATTTTTGTTCGATTAGAACTGATTTTAGTTGATTAGAAATGATTTGGTTGATTACAGCTGATTTTTGTTAATCATAACTGATTTGGTTGATTACAGATGATTATGATTTTTTAATTTAAAATGAGCTTATTAGTTTAGTTTCTGTTGATTTGGATTATTTTAGTCCAGTTATGGTTGATTGACGCTTATTTTATCCGGTTTAGATTGATTAAGGCTTTTATAGTATGGATTTTAGTTGATTTTGGCTAAATTGATTCAGACTTGGCTGGTTTCCTTAGGATTTGGATTAAAATTAATTTCATGCCATAAGTTTAAACTGTTTAGGTTGGTTAAACGTTTAGATATTGGTTTAAAAATGCATCTGCATAAAACAAATAGAAAGTTATTGGAAAAGAATTGCATCTAAAGTGAAATAGAAACCAATAACTGCGATTAGCACGGATTTTAGATATGATGACTATAAGAGTTAAAGTCAATTGCTCCGTGATTATCATATATGAATATACTTTGTAATATACTTAGCATGTGATTTAATCAATTAAAGTGCTCCAACATGAAAAGTAATGTATTCTCGAGAGAGAGACTGGATTTAAATGAAAGGATAGAAAAGGACATTTTATGCCTGAGATGTTTTCAATTTAATCCTTTAAAACTGCGGTTTCAATCCTCAGTTTCTGTCGAGTAATACAGATTGAACCATAGTATAGTACCTATTTACCAAATCACTTATAATTAAACGCTTGTTATGCACCCTTAAAATCAAAAGCCTCCATCCTTGTATTGATATACAAGCCGACCACCCCAATGTTTTACGGCTCATCATCCTTATCTGAGGTGACACGTAGCAATAAAAGAGGACCTCACACGTCAAACATTAAGTAATATACTTTGCTTGTCTGTCTGTTTGTATACAATAAACGTCAAAACGGTTCAATTGATCAGGCCCAAATGAATTGAGTCTTTGCCACAAACTCTGATTTTCTGATCACTATATCTTTGGATTCAAATGTTGCAGACCTAAGATATTTCAAACTATGAATTCTGTTAGATTAAATAATCTGAGTTTGAAATATCAAAGGTTTACAACATCGAGTTCTAAAGATATTGAGGTTTAAATGTTTGATTTTGTTCCAAAGACTCAATTCCTTTTGTGTGGGACCTCACATGACCATGGGAAAGGTTAATGGATGTTAAAAATTTCAAAAATTTAGTTTCCAACAGCATTCGATTTTCATTAATTTTTGAAGATCCACGAAATTTTTTTTATAAAATCCGTGAAATTTTTTGTTATTGTTTTACCATGTATACAAAGCTAGAGAAAATGTTTACTATTAAATAGAAGATGGGCGTAAAGCGCCCTGAATGCCTAGCAAAGAAATTACACGTAAGATTAAAATCTTATATGTTTTTAATTGAAGAGCTATTCAGAAGACCAGAAATATTTTGAATTTGCTCCTCTTATACTTCTGGGTAAAATCAAAAGCAGAGGATCTATGAGATCACAAAGTCGCACCAGTGATGTCGCTTTAGTTTTAGTTTCTCCATCTTTCTTGTTTGCAATGCACATAGTTTGGAAAACGATGGGGCAAAAAGAGCTATTTCTAATAATCTTCGTTTTTAACGCAAAAAATTAAAAGTGGAAAGTAAAGCGAGAAAAAATAAGAAGGAGAAAAAGACCAAATATTTACTTCTAAGTTATGATCTGAACATACCTAAATAATAACAGAAATAACTTTTATATTACTTGGAAACTAATGATCACAAGCCTCAAGTTTTCTTTAAAAAAAACTTGGAGAAATCCCTATATCGTTGCAACCTGAAGGCCTAAAGAATTGGGCGATGAAAGGCAATACAAAGATTACGTCCTTTTATGTAGATATAGCAAAAATGACGTTACCAAAAGTGACATTGTAAACCTTTCATATATCAGTGTTAGACTATTCACAATCTTGCCAAGCTACATTTGTTGCATAAAACGTGCTGGGTCGATTCTACACTGGTAGTCAAGACTGGACAGTACGACTGAATGCATAAACTAATAGTGTTCAGTTCCTTTGTGCAAACAAATGGTGACGTCAACGTCCTAATGTTAAAGTTCTAGGCTGTTTTATTTTCATTAAAAATACACTAAGAGATGACGTTTTATATTATCTCTACTAAATGAATTCATATTTTCTAACATTTTTATACTTTCAGAATGTTACAGTGATATCTTTTAAAATGTTAAGGTCTTTTTGCACAGAAAGAGTGGAACCTTAAAGATTAATTGATTTGATTGATTTTTGAAACTGATCAAATAATTGATCGATTTATTCATTGATTGATTGATTTTGTCCAGAGGATTGTTCCAGCTGAAAGAAGAGGTAAAACAACAGTTTGTAAACATCAAACTTTAAAATTTTGAATATTTTAAACAGAATCTAAACATGTTGCATTTAGGCAGACACAACTTTTGGAAATATTAAGTTAACTTGGTGTAAACAGGGACAGACATTTTTGCTTTAATAAATAAAAAATCCAATTATAGTATTTAAAAGTAATTACAAATTGAGTGAGAGAATTTGATAGACACGTACAAAATGAAGATAGAGAAAAACCTTTTTTTATTCTTTATGTGTCTATCACAGGGTTGGGCGGAGATGAAATTTCTTCTTGTTGTGTTTTGGTTTGGTTTGGTTGGAACTGAGGAGGATACGTTCCCCAGAACTCAAGTAATTTCAACCAGGTAAAGAGGCAACAAAGGGATCTGTAAAATTATTAATTATTGCTTAGCAGTTGACTTGCCCTCCTCCCCCCCCCCCGCTAACGGTTCGTCCTGAGATTGAAAAAATATAAATTTACAGGGCGAAAACTGGGGCAAAATGATTTCAAATTTCAAAATTATTTTATAAACCAACCAACCCCCCTCCCCCTATCCAAACGGGGCTATGCCTCTTCAAAATGTTTTCTTCAAAACATTGAAGCTTTTTTTCATGATATTATGTCAAATCTTTATGCCAGTTTATCATTTGTGAAAGATTAGATTAAGATTTTTGAACTTTTTAAATGCAATTCCATCACTTGATTTCATAAGTTAATAAGTTTTCATTCTTTTGCATCTAATATTAATTAAAACTTGAATTCTTGCAATCTCACTATATACAGTCTACAGAATACAGAATACAGTAAACTCTCTTATTTTATGTCACACAGACAACTAAGCAAAAAGCAGGATTGACTAGGCCCGTGTTGTATTTGTTGTATTTTCATAGATATTGAGTTGTAATTGATGGATTTCTATGGATATATTTTATATTTGTTGGATTTCCATAGATATTGAGTTGTATTTGTTGGATTTCCATAGATATATTTTATATTTGTTGGATTTCCATAAACATATTTTATATTTGTTGGATTTCCATAGATATTGAGTTATATTTATTGTATTTCCAAAGATATTACTAATTATATCACTAAAATCTCAAATTATATCATTAGTCCTAGTTTATACCTCTAAATATATATGTATATAATCTCAATATATATGTATATAATCTCAATATTTATGTTTATAATCTCAATATATATGTATATAATCTCAATATATATGTATTCTCAATATATATGTATATAATCTCAATATATGTATATAGTCTCAATATATATGTATACAGGTGAATGACTAAAGTAAATCCTTGAAATTCTAATTTATTTCTCTGAATGGTTCCTGTCAATATAACGTCTTCTTATTCTTGATTTAATATTCTGTCTGATCCCCCTGGTTTTCACTAATCCTTCTTGAACATGTAAATGAATTCGTGTCCGACCAATATATCTCTTCTCCAGGTATACTATATCATACTATCACCAACTCAGTGGAAATATTTTATAAACTACAATATCTGCCAAGTTTTGATTTAAAATTTTATTTTCATCTCAAGTCTAAACTTCTCCTAGAAGTTCTTGAGGCGTGCATTCTCTTTTCTTTTCAATGTTCTGTTGTAAGAAGATGGGCGGAAGCGTAGAAGCTTCCGCTTTCATTTTATAGAAGATACAATTCTTCCCTTCTCTTCTCTTCGTCCCTTGTAAACCTTTTAAACATCAAAGATTATCTACTGTAAGTATACTAGCGAGGAATACTGCGGGAGAAAAGTGTTTTCTGCATCTCCAAATATACAAGGAGAATAAATTCAGGGCATTCTTTAGATAAATATTCCTTTTTCTCAACCTGAACACAAACCCCACTCTGAGCAGGATATCACAAAATATTGTAACAACTTTTATACCCACGCTGTGCAGATTTTTGGCTTTTTTTAGGAATATGTGTCTATTTTGCTTTGATATTTAAAAAATTTATTTTGAGCCTGGAATAAATTTGTAGACCCCTAATAGAGAATAGACTCATCATAACTTCTTAATTCAAGCTTTAAATCCAATAATATTAGTATACCCCGACCTTCATTCATCTCTGCATACTACTCAACAATATGATAAGGTTGTACAGCAGCTTCTTCACGAAATTGTGTTTTCGCAATTTTTTTCTCAAATAACAAAAGTTTAACATTATTTTTAGTTTTGAAAACTTTTAAAATGAAATTATACTCTTGGAAGGTTTTCTTCTTAGTATGAATTATAACAGTAGTCGTTTAACTTTACAGACGATGCAAAGATATGTAAATAGTTAATTCCTGGGTCATTCAAAATAGGATATCAACAGATCGTTTTCCAGAAAAAAAACACTGCTTTTACATATGCAGCGCGGATTGTCAAACTTCAGAACGATATTGGTATCGTTTCCATAGTTCCTTAACCATATTCCGGCTGGGGGGAGGGGTCCCTGGAACCCTCCTGACGTTTTTCTGGAGATAACTCAAAAAGTATTGGTCTGTTCAAAATTTTTTGACTTTTCTAACTAACTCATGCCCCTCACCTTAGACTAAAAGAGGGGCTTTTAAGTTTTTGATAAATTTTCCAATAATTTTGCAAATTTGAATTCGCTGTGCGTGGTAGGGCTTTACAAAAATCTATAATTTATCATATTTCGCGCACTTTTGTCCATCTTTTGCTTTATAACTTGATTTTGCTATAAAAAAGTTTGAAATTTTGACAATCTGAAATTTTTCTTTGAAGATTTTTAAAGTAGAGCCTAAGGGCTTTCCAAGAATGTATCAAGTGTTATAGATTTGTATCACAATAAGGAAGTAGATTATAAACTATTTTGGGTAAACCAGACGTTAGCCTGATTAGGGTTAAATGAGGGTTAATAAATATGCACTGGAGTAATACAGGGTTAGCCTAACAGGATCAAACTTCAGAGACAAAGGTTCAGAAATTATTCAGACTGCTCTCTTAGTCTTATTCTCAAGCCTAAATCATTTGATTGTAGACTATTTTCTAAACAAAAGACAACATTTAACACGCTCAAATGTTGATTGTGAGCTCATATTGTAAAATTGTGTAAAATATTGTATGGTTGTTACTAATGTATTGAATATAACCTTGTAAAGCAACAACTAAGCTAAAATAAAGAAAATAAAGAAAGAAGGGCGCTCAGAGCCCTGAAACTCTTTTTATAATAATTTTTGATAATTGTTTAGGAAAGGGAAGGTCCAGGGTCGGACTATATCTCTGGTAGGAGGAGAATATAAACTAGATCCTGTAGATGTGTACTTAGGTATTCCCTACGCTCTACCACCTACTGGATTGTGGAGGTAAACTATTCAACAAATCAAACCAACAACTTTTCAATCCAAGAGATTTACATATTCGTCGAGGAAACTTGATAAACTTCTAAGCCGAGAATCTTTAAATGGACAGAATGTGTTAGACTAATTCATTCCTTTAAAGGACTGTTAACATAATTTAAACTTATCCTCCATTAATTGAGTGGCATGTCCGATTGAACGTGGTACCCCTAAAGGGAGAGACCGACTAGACATGGTAGTTGATTGCAAAGTGCAGTATTGTATAGAAAACTTTCATTTGATGCCCATGATGCTGTTGTTTCAGTTGGCATAAGAAACGTTTTTTACAATTATTTAGTATCCCGAAACATGTAAAAAAATTATTTTATAGACTAATTTGCTGTTAAGAACATATTTCTTAAAAGAAATTATCAATGAAAGCCATATTAGAATTAAAATAAAGAAAACCTCCAATAAGCAACCCTAGCTGAGAATTTGCTTAAACCTGCGAGATTTTGAAATTAATTTTAATAACTTATTTTCAATGATATAAGTTATTTATGTTTCTCAATCTATTTGTATGCATACGCAACTAATTTGTTCCATGTTTTGGTCATGTTATTTAAGAATTGTAATTAAAATGGGTTGAGTCACTTAAAATTACAACACAGTCCTTTTTTAGAGAGATTTATTGTTCAAATTCAGCCAGTTTTCAGCAATGCAAATTCTCGACAAAATTGACTGATCTCCAATTGGTCGAAAATATTTGCCAAATGAGGAATTGTCTACACGTCCCGTATTAGTTTTACTCCCGCCGTCGACAATTTCCGAATAAGCTAAACTCCATTTTTAATTATTTTTATCAATAATTTCGTTTCTTGATAAAGTTCAGAAATTCTTGATTTTCTTGAAATCCCTATTATAATATTTTTTCGAGTTGGAAGGATGTCATGGTATAGAGAAATATACTTTAAATTAAGGACAAAATATTCCGATAAATGGAAAGGTTGGGCTCCGCATAACTGTGATCTTTGGTTCATTTGTAGTATCTGTATATACAAGACTAACCTGAGCTGAAAACTTTAAAATTAGATATCCTTAATCACGGTCCCTTAATCTGATTATCAAATGTAGAACCTTTTGATTTTCTTCTTAATCCTCTTTATGGATATTTCTACTGTAAAAAAGTTGCGTTTGATAACAATTACAAATACTATGCTTTATCGCTTTGACTAATATCCGGTTGAATTAAAGTCAGCTCTGTTCACATGCCAGCTTTTAGAGTATTTAAACAAATATAAATTTAATTATGCTAATATGAAATTATAAAAAAACACATTTTAGAACTAATGTCATTTTGAACATTAGTCTTAATAAACATTAATCCAAAACTTACATTCTTTCAGTCGATGTTTAGTTCAATTGATATGACACCATCATAACTAGAAATCAAAACCGGTTTTTCAAAAGTTAAAGAGTAACATCTAACATAACATGCTAATTGGTTAAATTATTTACTTCTTTCTTGGTTATCGAATCCGTTTAAAAATAATCTTGGGTTTAGTAAAACCAGGAGTTTAAGCATTAATCTTGTTATCCACCATTCTAAAGTTTACAGCTCTGAATACATACAGATTTTATCAGGCAAAACGTGACGGTACACCAAATAAATTATTCCCATCTTGGTAGTTTTATGAACATATTGCACCAAAAAATCATAAAATCTAACTGGCCTTATGAACAACAAGATTTCAGGTCATTAATCATAAAATGGACCTTTTATATTTAGACAAAAAAAATAAAAAACTGAAATTTTTTATTTCCATCACCAATTCATCATGACAGTGACTTATACTATATTCCTATTTGTAAAAGATATAATTTTACTAGATTTCTAACTGAAATTTAAAGTATATTAAATGCATAATCATAATAGAAAACATGTTGGATATTGATAAAACAATTTTGAATCTAAAATATCTCAAATATTTCCTAGATATACATAATGTATAGATGCTTCATCTCTCGAAAACCTCAAGAACATAGCAAAATAAAATATAAAAAAAAACTAAGCAATCAATCAATGGCCTGTTGATCAATCACTTATTTATTAATCAATCAATCACCAGTTCATCAATCAATCAATCAGTCGATCACTAATCTATAACTCAATTACTAATCAATTAATCGATTATTTTTCAATTCATCATGTCTCTCTTTTGATAATTTATCATTTACTTATCATTTATAAATCAAAGAATCAATTCATCATAAAACAATTAAATTCATTGTTCTTGAAAAGTAAAAAGTATGATTTCCAGAGGCGGTGGGGGGTCAGCCTCTAACTTAAAGAAATGCTAGGCTTTAGAGTAAAGAAAATACTTTTGAATACTTTTGATCGTTTCAATTTACATTTAAAAGGAATGTTTTTATCAGGTTTCTCTCTCTACAGTTTTGAACACAGCATGATTAGATACTATTACCTTAAAGAAGAAGATGATTAAATTAAAACTGATAATTCTTAAATTTAAAATGGAAAAACTGAAATCAAGTTTTCATTTTCAATAAAACTTGTTGGAGGTAAAACGAGTTTAACAGTTTAACAAAAAGTTAAAATGTTGTTGTATAATTCCAACGTTTCAAAAATATCTCCTAGCAAATCAAATTCTCCCTTTTTTAATAAAAATACGTATGAAATAATCCTTAAAGTTCTTAAAACCAAAAGAGCTCTAGTGGAATGTCGACGTAATTTCAAGTGTGACCCTCCATTATGATTAAAGGAAATATGCCAGAATTTGATCAGAACTTTTCTAAATTCTGAAATTTTGTAATTTTGTGTATGTTTCAAATGAGTAAACAGTCTCTTTAAATATTCACGGGCTCGTCAATACTATACACTTGATTGCTTTAAATTTACTAGTTAGGAAATTAGCTGGGGGGGGGGGTGAAATGTGCATTTTGTTATTGCCCTTGGGAAGTATAGTTAATAAGAGAACAAACATGAGAATATCCGGACACGGATACAACTCAAACAGATTCAATAGATTGGAAACTAGGCTAACATGCATCAAAACTCTTTATATACAGGATGTCCCAATAAACATGGGTTAATGCAGTGACGAATTCGATATCGTCTTTTCAAATAATTCTTTGATTTAGTATAGTGATACCTATTGAGAAAGCTGTAATCTGTAAGAGTTTCGTCTGCTATGTTCACATTTTGTTTGTTTATGTTTTGACTGCATAAGGGTGTACTTAGTAAAACAAGAAAATTACAGTATACAAACAGAGTAAACTTGTCCGTCTTCATTATTCATCTTGCGGAGACATTATAGACACATCTTTACAGCCATTTTCCGTATTCTTAAAATAAACTCTATCAGACATAATGACTTTTGAAATTAGGTATTACAATGCTAATTCATATTAAAGACTATATCGAATTCGTCACCGAATTCCCATGTTTTTTGGGACACCCTGTAGTTTAAAACAATCAATTTTATATTTATAACAGGCCCAGGGTTACCTCTACAGGATATTACAACCTGACTCTTCTTATACAAGCACATAAATGTTGGAGTTATCCTCGTTTTTCTATATAAAAATTAATACATTTCTAAAAGTGGCCTACGGGTTTATGCTGCAGAGAAAATGAAGGAAATGGAAAGAATTTACATCGTTTACATAGAGAAAAAAGACCGTATTTTCTCATTATCAATCCAATAAAGTGTTAAATAGTATCGTTGTGAATTAGGCATGTAACTTTTTAATGTTTAATTTGGTCTGTTGTATTCACTAAAGTCTTCCAATCATGTTTATATTGATTTGGCAAAGAAAAAACATAAAAACACTTCAGAAGACCGTACATTTTTAAATTTCGTACAGTCGTCCTTCAGTCGCATTCTTTGTCGGTAACTCTGTATGTAAAAGGATGACAACACTGCACTTGATGCATTTTATTGAATCTACTTGTAAGTTGTAGATTAAATAAGTCCCCTTAACGGTTGAAGTGGTTAATGCGCTTCTATTCCTCTCTGCAAGAAAGAAGAATGAACCATGTTTCATTAAAGGAAATGCTTGTTTTAAAGCTTAATAGCACTGGGGATTTTACGAAAATCCCTTTTATGTTGGCTTATGTATAGCACAGTATATAACTGGTAGTTCACCATTCAACTTCAATTTTAAATTTTTAAACCTCTTTTTTTTCTGCAGCAAACATGTAAGTCAAATAATTTTTTATTTTGAACATAAATACAGTGTTCAAATCAGTAGCAGTCCCTTTAAATATCCCTCTATTAACTGTATTTACAAAGAACTGATTAGTTTCTATGAATACAAAGTATAATAATAATAGAGTAATCAATTCTATACAGATACATCTTCTACGCTTATATAGATTTATAGTTTCCTTGTTGCACACAATAACTGTAAATTTAATGTATTTGGCGTTTTTTCTTCTTTTTAGGGAAACTAGTTTTAAGTTTAGGTTTGAGTTTAGTCCAACCCAGGATCTTGCTGATAATAATACTGCTCCTGGTTTAGGTTCAGTCCAACCCAGGATCCTCCTGATAATAATCCTGCTCCTGGTTTAGGTTTAGTCCGACCCAGGATCCTCCTGATAATAATCCTGCTCCTTGTTCAGGTTTAGTCCGACCCAGGATCCTCCTGATAATAATCCTGCTCCTGGTTTAGGTTCAGTCCAACCCAGGATCTAGCTGATAATAATCCTGCTCCTGGTTTAGGTTTAGTCCAACCCAGGATCCTCCTGATAATAATACTGCTCCTGGTTTAGGTTCAGTCCAACCCAGGATCCTCCTGATAATAATACTGCTCCTTGTTCAGGTTTAGTTCGACCCAGGATCCTCCTGATAATAATCCTGCTCCTTGTTCAGGTTTAGTTCAACCCTGAATCCTCCTGATAATAATACTGCTCCTGGTATAGGTTTAGTCCAGCCCAGGATCCTCCTGATAATAATACTGCTCCTGGTTTAGGTTTAGTCCAGCCCAGGATCCTGCTGATAATAATCCTGCTCCTGGTTTAGGTTTAGTCCAACCCAGGATCTTCCTGATACTAATAATGATCCTGGTTTAGGTTAAGTCCAACCCAGGATCCTCCTGATACTAATAATGCTCCTGGTTTAGGTTTAGTCCAACTCAAGATCTCCCTCCCTGGCCTGGAATTCTTCAAGCAACTTCTCCTGGTCCATCCTGTCCACAGCGCTTCCCTAGGTAAAATAACAATAACAAAGGTTTAAACCAAAACTTAACATGGAAGATGGAACGAATATCTATTAAATACCTTTTTATCTTTTTTAAATTAAAATTTTGAATTGCATTACACCTGATTCTGTTCTCTCACCCACCTCCACCTTTATCCCCCTTCCTTATATATAATAAAAAATGTAATATTTACTTTATTCTCTCTTGGTAGTATTATATAGTGATCACATTAACATATTTGCAGGAATAGAATAGAATAGAATATAATATAATAGAATAGAATAGAATAGAATAGAATAGAATAGAATAGAATAGAATAGACTACATGTATATAGACTGGAATACATACGGGATAATATCTATAGATGGAAAAAAGTACAACTACATTCATTTATTGCATAACTCAGATCCGTATATATACCATATGCATGCGCATTTCTTATACACCAGATAAAGCAGGGAGTAAAACTATTTTAGAACATAGAAGAGCAATATTAAGGTTTTAAAAATAAATCTACGTTGATTGTTCAAATATGTTCACTTAAAGGGACTGGTTACGTGATTTCAAGCAACCCTTCGTTTAAAGAGATGGAGTTATGAAAGAACACTTTATTATTCCCTGTGATTGACAATTACAGTTTTTTAGCTAGAAATATAAGGATATCTTTTTTACCCAGGTAGAGAAAATTCCGGCTTGTTTCATATTTCCAATTGACGATTCTCGTTAATGATAATACACCACATTCAAATGGTTACAATCTATATATAAATTTGGCTTGTCTGTTTGTTTTTTTGTATCCAATAAACGTCAAAACGGCTGAACCGATCGGGCCCAAATTTTTTTGTGGGACATCTAGGGACCCCAGGGAAGGTTTATGAATGACTGAAATTTTAAATATTTGTCTACATCAAAATTTGATCTTTATTAAATTTTTTAAAATTTTGAAAATCCACGAAATTTTTTGTGAAAATCCGCGAACTATTTTTGTTTTGTTTTACGATGTATACAAAGAGAACATGTTCACAATTAATTTATAAGATGGGCGCGAAGCGCCCTCTAAGGCTAGTATATTACATTTTTTTAGTCAAGAATTTATTAAAAATACAGAAAAGGAATATTTTTTATATAAAACTATTTCAGGACTGAAAACCAGACTGAAGCTGAACACTACTTTACAGCTGGGTATATTGAGTACATAAACAATGTCAGGTTCGTCAAAACTTTATTCTGTTCATTTTGAAAACAAAATAATTTAGATTTTAGTTTTTTTTCAATCACAGTTGGCAAAAGTTCAGCAAAGTTTGTTAAATTACGCGGATATTTCCCAAAATTAGTAGTTAAGGATTTTGTCTTTTTATCCCAAATTAATCCATTTACATTTTCCATCAGTATTGGTTCCAAACTTGGGATTTGTTGTCTGTTGTTGGTAATATAGTCTGTCCCAATAATCATGGTAGTTAAGAGAAGACTTGAAAATCGTCTTCGATTTCCGTTAGTTTTTTTGAATGTTCAAAATTGACGTCAATTTTGGTGGTGCAAATATTATAAAGACTAGCAGTCTTTAATTATCAATTGTATTCACGCGTCGATAAAACAGTATTTAGATTTGAGATGTAGGCGATGTCAAGGATGTAAGGCAAGGAAAGTCATTTCAGAAGTGTACACATCTTTAGTACTGCAGTGTACTGTCTCTGGGCGCTAATGTAAACACAAGACGGATGTCGAAGCCTGACATGGGATCCATCATTCACATAGAAAATCAATGAAATATTCTGGTCGTAGGAAATTATTATGTGAATTATCAAAATTATCAAAATTTAATGCTTTTAACCTCCTCGGATACTAAACGAACACTGATGCATCTATTATTGTTTACAAATTCCGCCCAGAGAGAACTGGTTTCAATATGTACGCAGAGTATACACGACCGCAATTGACTTTCCTTGCCTTACATTCTTGGGCGCTGGTCTGGCATGAGAAAGCCAGTCGCACTGCTTTGCAGACCAGTACTTTAAACTAACACACACTCTTTTGGTACAGACACACACCCATGACGTTTCCGCCCCCTGATATCAAGTCAAACGTACATTACCACCCTTTGTATTCACGTGATAATGCCATGCGAAACAAAGACGATAAAGAAGTGCAATAGGTGGGAATACGTGTACATTCAGTACAGTTGTATTTTATGTCACTAGCGACATTAAAATTTTCAGTTTCGAAAAATTTTTTAACAATGGTGATAAATTATGACTAAAGTGCTTGATTAGGTTTGCAGTGAAATTAGTGCAGTTTGATGTATTTTTTTTCTTTTTCTTTATGGTTCGAACTTAACACCAATGACGTCATGCATAAGTTCTTCAAAATCCGATTGCCGACTATTGTACTTTTTGGTGAACGCTAAAAAAGTTATCTGAAGATGTTCTGTGGAAAAAAGTCCTTGAATTAAAAAGTCTATTGAAATAGATTCCTACTATTTTGAGACTTATTTATAATTCTTCTTTTCTGGTGCCAGTATGATTGTATACAAAAAAGTCCTCTGATAGTGGAACATGGAAGAGAACAAAGAATGTTTTTAACCATGGAAAAAATGGACTTGATATTAAGAACACTTCTAGAAACATTTAATATGCAGGTGAATGAAAGAAAAGTCCTTTTTATGAAAACCTCTCAGACCTCCTTTTCCCAAGAAATATGTCTTTTTTCTTATCTATTTTTCATCGGATATATTTTCTCCAGGACTTTCCTGTGATCTTATTTCCTGAGACTTTATTGGCAGTCCCCATACTATTTTATGGAAAAAAGTCCCAGGAATCTAAAACTTAGAACTTTATTTACGGTGGCATTTTGTCCTAGGACTTCAGAAAAATTGTTATTTCCTGTTTTTCAGAAACTTTTTTCTATGACTTTCTTTCATAGATTCGTACTGTTTAGCCTATTAAAGTATATAGCAAAAGCTGGAGCTCTGTGTTTATATATAATCAGGTTTGGAAGAGTTTAAAGAAACACCAGATCCTGCAAAAACAAAGAAACTAAGACAAGGAATTGGTTTTCATACTTCGACAAGATTTCTCCAACTTTCTCCTTAAAACCAATTATATTTTATAGCCCAGGCACTCTCTAGAGGTTTCAAGAAATAATACTCTTTTTCAAAGATTGTATGTTTATCGCGCTGGTGAAGAGGTCAATATATACTTCTTGATTTGTCTTCTGAAAGGCATACAATCTACAAAGGTTATAACCACGTACATAAATAATAATTTCACAAGAATGGGATTCATTTGTGGTAATGTCCCGGTTAGCCTTCATAGTCTGTAATTGTACTGTACAGCTTTCTGGGTAAAGTCTTCCCGGTACTTGAAATGAACTGGAGTGTACAAGAGCAAACTTTACTTTATCAAACTTTACGGAAAATGTTATTCTAATTGATAAAAAAAAACATAAGAGTAAACCGAATCCAAAATCTTTTTATCCATTATCTCCTTTCAGAATAAACATAACTTGTTCATTGTATTTATTCTTAATATTACAATAATACTTCAAAATCAATATGCAGTATACGGAGATAGTGGGGAGAGACAGATAGTATTATAAATGAACAATATCCGAAGAATATAGGAAATGAAAATGAATTGATTGTTAACGAATTTGAAAATAAATTATGGAGTATATGGTCTTTTCAGGACAGACATTCATTTTTAATCATTAGTCTTCCTGATGGTAAATAAATAATAGTGTCTTCTCATTATCATACATAAAAAAAGATAAACGTGGGTCAGCATAAAAAAGTAAAACAGTTTTTTTAATATTTTTAAAAATGAAGTAATCTGGTCATTAAAATAATGCAGCATCTACATGAATACTTCAAATACAAAACTAGCTTAAAGGGACCGTTCACTTATTTGGGTAATTTCAGGGGGTAAACTAAACAGCCTATTTGCTATAGACCGTCGCCTTCCGCTCTAATTCTGAACGAAAAATAGGTTTTTTTCTCCGGCCACAGTTGTCTTTGAAAATTAAGACTATTACCAATCAACAGCGAATAGGCTGTTTAGATTACCCTGAAATTAACCAAATAAGTGAACGGTCCCTTTAAAACAGAATGCAGTGCAATGAGATAGCGGAACATATATGAGATACAAAATAAAAAAGAATATTTTTTTATTATTTAGATTCTAGATACTGCAAAATCACGTAAATTCTTCAATTTCTAAATTGTTTACAGAATTTAAATACAAAAAATACTTTGTTCTTATAAATTAAGTCAGCAAGTGTAAAATTACCTTGAAGTTTTTTCTACTTTTGGAATTAAACATATTTTATGTTAAAACATTTTTAATAAAAGATCCATACTTCGCCATATTAGCATATTTGTGTCGTCTACCTGGCCAAAAAGGAAAAAGATATTAGATTAGGTTTGTTGAAAAAGAGACATAAAAGCTTAGATTAATGACTGAAGATATATTTTAAGATATTACTCGGGAGCGGTATATTAGTATAATACATGGTGTCTCAATAAACACGGGAATTAAGTGACGAATTAGAGATCGTCTTTGTTAAGAAATAGCATGGTAATACCTGAATTTAAAAGCCATAATATTATCATGTCTGCTAAAATAAATGGAAACATGGATTTCACTGAAAAGCTTACCCTGCGTACACTTGGATATGACGTCAATTGGTTTTGAATTCAACGTTTTAGACACCAGTTATCAAAAGAAATGATAATTTTCTAATCCTTCATTGTATCTTTGCAACCCGATGTCGTGAACCTTGATAATATTAGATTTACCAGAATTTATAGTTTGAAATAGCTAAGGTCTAAAACATCGGGTTGCAAAGAAATAGTGATTAGAAAATCAGAGTTTGTGACAAATACTCAATTTCTTTAAAAGAGATCGCTTTTAAGGAAACCTCCGAGTTTCCTTTCTGGGGTAAATACAGTAAACAATAATTAGAGAATATAAAAGTAACCAAGAAAATAATATTTCTTTAAAACAAAATTTAATTTCTACAAAATTCCCTTACTCCATTCTTGATTTTTTAACGATTTAACGAGAAGGGAGATACAACTGACGCGGCCCGCCCTACCATATGATTAATACATGCTTTGCAGACGGTACTTCATTTGTATAAGAAATATTTGTCTAATGTACAATTACCGCGTATACAATAGCCTATTCTGAACATTTCTTATACAAATGAAGTACCGTCTGCAAAGCATGTATAATCATATGGTAGGGCGGGCCGCGTCAGTTGTATCTCCCTTCTATTTCATACTCCTTGGTATATGTTCACTGTGCACACAAATCAAATCATTTATCATCATTAGAAAATATATAAAATCAAAGATGTAATACTGCAGTAAATTGTGAGTAATGGTTCTAATTATACATTATTTTTTTTGCATTGTTAAGAAAGGAACCCAGATCCGAATTCAGTTATAAAAGGAATAATTAGATGAATATCTATAAAGTTGATTTCACGCCAAAAATATATTTTTTTCCATTGGAAAATTTATGCAAAACAAGAAATAATCAAAAGTATTTAGTTTAAGTAAAGTAAAACTAAATATGGGTTAGTCGAATTTCTAAAATCATATAAATTTCTTTTTCGACAAAAAAATTTACTTTTAAGCAAATATTTTCTTTTCATTTGATAACTTTTAAAAACAAGGCTTAATAGATAATACCCAGCACAGTCATATCTTAGTTAACAGTTTGTAATTATCTGTCTATTTTTAGGTCTTCAAGTTTATCTATGTCTGAGGATTGTCTTTACTTGAGTATATTCTCCCCAACTATACAAGGTAACAACAGGAGTATATTCTCCCCAACTATACAAGGTAACTATAGGAGTATATTCTCCCCAACTATACAAGGTAACTATAGAAGTATATTCTCTGTAACTATACAAGGTAACTATTGGAGTATATTCTCCCCAACTATACAAGGTAACTATAGGAGTATATTCTCCCCAACTATACAAGGTAACTATAGGAGTATATTCTCCCCAACTATACAAGGTAACTATAGAAGTATATTCTCCCCACTATACAAGGTAACTATAGGAATATATTCTCCCCAACTATACAAGGTAACTTTAGGAGTATATTCTCCCTAACTATACAAGGTGATTAGGAGTATATTCTCTCCAACTATACAAGGTAAATAGGAGTATATTCTCCCCAACTATACAAGGTGATTAGGAGAATATTCTCCCCAACTATACAAGGTAACAATAGAAGTATATTCTCCCCAACTATACAAGGTAACTATTGGAGTATATTCTCCCCAACATTACAAGGTAACTAGGAGTATATTCTCCCCAACTATACAAGGTAACTAAGAGTGTATTCTCCCCAACTATACAAGGTATCTAGGCATATATTCTCCCCATCGATACAAGGTAACTAGGCGTATATTCTCCCCAACTATACAAGGCAACTATAGGAGTATATTTTCCCCAACTATACAAGGCAACTATAGGAGTATATTCTCCCCAACTATACAATATAACTATAGGAGTATATTCTCCCCAACTATACAAGGTAACTATAGGAGTATATTCTCCCCAACCATACAAGGCAACTATAGGAGTATATTCTCCCCAACTATACAAGGCAACTATAGGAGTTTATTCTCCCCAACTATACAAGGCAGCTATAGGAGTATATTTTCTCCAACTATACAAGGCAACTATAGGAGTATATTCTCTCCAACTATACAAGGTAACTACAGATGAGTATATTTTCCCCAACTATATAAGGCAACTATAGGAGTATATTCTCCCCAACTATACGAGGTAACTATAGGAGTATATTCTCCCTAACTATGCAAGGTAACTGGGCGTATATTCTCCCCAACTATACAAGGTAACTAGGCGTATATTCTTCCCAACTATACAAGGTAACTAGGAGTATATTCTCTCCATCGATAGAAGGTAACTAGGAGTATATTCTCCCCAACTATACAAGGTAACTATAGGATTATATTCTCCCCATTGATACAAGGTAATTATAGGAGTATATTCTCCCCATCGATACAAGGTAACTAGGAGTATATTCTCACTAACTATACAAGGTAACTAAGCGTATATTCTCCCCATCGATACAAGGTACCTAGGCGCGGGCGTATATTCTCCCCTAAGAATATAATTCTTCTCTTCCCCTATTCTCTTACTTTAACGTATGTACTATGTAAAGAGTTATCTCTAGAGGATGAGTATTTTAAACGACTGTTCAGATGTTATCAAGATTTTATTGAATGCTACATCAAATAAAATCATTCATAGATTTTTGTTAGATTCCAAAGTCTAATCAAAGCATGATAAATTCCATATAAATTAACTACTGTAATTCGGTCAACCTTGGATTTCAGAATGAAAATGATTTAATTTACATTAGCTTGGGAACCCAGATTTGCCTGGGAACTAAATGTTCCCTATAAAAGTAAACCTACTCAACCTTGGAGTTTGTAACCAAGCTTAGGACATTCCCATGATTCTGTTAAGTTCCCCAATTAATATTTGATGCTAATAAAGTATTTTATTTTACCAACAGGTACATAAACATAAACAGCTGTACATACACATAAAAACAAAGAGAAGTTGTCTATTAACAGCTTCTCTTTGTTTACTTGGAAACTTTTAATTTGAAAAATGGTTGTTAATGATCAAAGCATTCTTAATAAAAAGTCGTCTTCATTGTATTGGTATAATCGCCAACTACTGTATATCAACTTCCAAAGCACAAACATTTTGTTTGTAAAGGAAAATAAACAAGACGATATAGTTTTACATTATGAATCATTTTACAACATTTTATATTAACAAATTTGCACATTTCTCTCTGGGAAAATCTAAATAAAATCTGAAATTAACTAAAGTAAATTTATCGTTTTGAATCCCGTGCATAAATGACCATGAATAAAATCCAAGATATCAAATCTGCAAACTTGGATTTACAGGTGGTTCAATTTCCTTTATAATGTAAACCTGCCAAAAAATACATTTAAATAAGAGTTTATTCTTTCCTTTCTTATATAGAAGGAAAAACCAATTTTACTTTAAGATTTTTTTTAACAGTCATTCTTTAACCTCTATTGACTTTTTATAGTGAAAAAAATCTCTTTTCCCGTTCCTAAATCCNATTTTAAAAAATTTAATGACGATCGAATTTTGATGGAGACAAATATTTGAAATTTTGATCATTCATAAACCTTCCCTGGGCTCCCTAGATGTTCCACAAAAATTTGGGCCCGATCGGTTCAGCCGTTTTGACGTTTATTGGATACAAACAGACAGACAGACAGACAAACAAACAAACAAACACCCAGACAAGCCAAATTTATATATAGATATATCACATCATCAACACAAAAACAAAATATATTAAAACAATCATATATATTATATATATCACATCATCAACACAAAAATTAAATATATTTAAACAATTACAAACACCTGGAAAATAAAAAATAAAATTATATTTTAGAAGACATTTTTTAAAGATTATTTAGATTCACTATTCAAAGTTGGTGGCAGTAAATCATTCTTGATTTACTATCTTTACTTATCTAACATTATCTATCTTTTTGAGAACTAGGTTCAAGTTTGTCTGGACCATTTAGAAAGTATGGAAGTTAACCTCCTTGAAATATAATTAAAAGTTTCCCCGGGACTCTCTTTACGTTTACAACCATCGATGCTTTAGAAATAGACTCTACAAAAACCTACATTTTTTCATCTTCATTTATTTTTGGCTTAACTGGGTGTTTGTTTGTATCCAATAAAGGTCAAAATGGTTGAACCAATCGAGTCCAACTTTTTAGTGAACCTTTGTTAAATATGAGAATGCATTAATGTAAATTTTGATAAGTTTTAAATAACGTATTCTATATTGATACGTCTGCCCTGCCTATGTTCGGTATATCATTTATATGGTAATTTGTATGTATGGGATTTTTATAATCTTAAATAAATAAATACACGGATTTCAGAGCCCGGGATAAAAAATTGGGAAACTAAGATACCGATCAAAACGGCCATTGAGGCGAATTTAAGATTCAAGTTGATTTTCCACAAAATTGGGTGGGTTTATTATATCAGTTTTATATTGTATTTAGCGGATTTTTATAATTGGAATTGACGGATTCAATGAATTTGATTAGAATAAGACTCATGATAAGACTAATTCTCCACTAACACCAACCAAGGTCGGTTTTAACTTTATTGGCCTAACTCCTGAAGTTGATCCTAAGAGCTGGTAGCTGTCGATCACGTGACATAAGCGATCATCAGCTGATTCAAGATTGAGACATAAACCTGGGTCAAATGAAAGAGACTCAAGACGAAACTTTTAAATCGCGGGCTCAGAAGCTTTGTTGTTAAGACTCTTAAACCTTCGTAAAGTTTCTATTATCACTATACTTTCAGGGCGCTTCGGGCCTATCTTCCATTCAATTTTCTTTTTGTATACATTGTAAAAAATCACAAAAAAGTTTGCAAATTTTATGGATTTTCAAAATGTAATGAAAATCAAATTTGGTTGGAGGCTAATTTTTAAAATGTGAGGTCCCACACACAATTTGGGCCCGATCAGCCCTTTAGACGTTTATTGGAAAGAAACTGTTTCGCTACTTAGCGATTTCCCTAAAGACCTAATATATATACCGTGTGGTATTTCTCAGGACCGGATCGTAAGACTCCCTTCTCTCAACGCTCTTCATAATAAAAAAGGATGATAGTAAGGTTCCGAACGTTTATTTCTCTGAGCCTTCAATCTAAATAAGTTTAATAAACCCACAGAAAAAGCTTTGAGTGATAAATCATACAACTACAATAAATAATTCACTCAGGCATTAAAAAACTGTGGCTAGGAACCAATAAACACATATATAAATATCAATCATATTATAATCAAACCGACAAGCATAAATATATATAGAAATAGTTACCACAGTGATCCCAGAATTCTGAACACGGCTAATACTTGCAAAACGAATAAACATATACTGA